GGGGTTTTCTAGTTTTTTGTGGGTTTCTTTCTTAAAGGGATGGAGCCGCGGTGGGTGGGGCAGCCATGGGGTGGGGGGGGTGGTTTGGGATGGAGGTCAGGGGGCTCATGGCAGAGACCCCCCATGCAGCATGGGGGGCAGCAGGGATCACCCTGCCACCCGGAAGCACCTGCTGAGTCAGGGGTTTTTTTCCCCTCTGAGTGCTGGGAGCTGGGGCAGGCAGGGCAGCCACTGCTGGGCTGGGTGGGGACGGGCCTGGCTGATTCAGAGATTTGGCCAAATCTATTCAGGACAGTGATTCCAATCACCGAACTGAATCACTGTCCCATGTTTTATTATCCTCACTATTTGTCCATACAAGTGATTCTCAACCACCGATGCCACTAGATCCTTTGAAGGGTGCCCCAAAGTGTGAGGAGATAAGTGAGGTATGACAACATAAGCAGGTAAATTATGCAGGTAAGTACAGGCTCAGTAAAATCAGCCTCTGATCCATCACCCCCACTGCCTGACCCCTCTGCAAAGATGTATGCACTGCAACATATTAAATAGATTTTGAAATTGGGTTCCACTCAAGTCCAGAAAGGTTGAGTACCACTGGTCTAGATAAACCCAATCAAGCCAAACTATTCCAACTAAAGCAGCAGACATATTTAAATGAAATTAGGACAGTGTAAATGAAAACTTTGTTCAGCTGTTTGACTGGGTTTTGTTGTCAAATTTTTAGGCTCAACAATTTGCAACCACTGCTGTTAAGTACTGGTAAGTTACTTAAGTCACTACAAATTTCTCTCTCCTCTGTCTCTATTAACGATTTGGCTCAAGAACCCTCTGTTTCTGGCAATAACAATTTTAGCTAAGCTGAAGTCCTGCCTGATTGACATGAACCTTAAAGATCCCATAGTGTCTTTTTCTTAAAAAGCAGGCATTTGCTTTAGCGTGTCTGCAATGTGTCTTTTCCACCAACCCTTGGCCAAGTAGCAACCTAAACATTGGCTGATTTCCAACCTATTCTGCAGAAATGGCTGCATTTCAGTGATACCAGTACACACCTAATATAACTGTAATATTTTGGGTCCCCTCGTGTATTTAAAATGTGATACTGTTTTATATCCTAGCACGGGCTTGAAAACATTTCATTTATGCAACAGGACTGAAAGACAACTGAAAATGTATAAAACAGGTTTTAAATGTCTAGTGGACAAATAAAGGAAAATAAAAACCACTCTTCACACTAGGCACTAGGCTACCGCTCCAGCTCTCCCCTCGCATTTTCTTCATTCATATTCATGGAGGCTTGGCTGCCTTTTGACTGCTTCTGCACAGATACTACAGATAACAGCACATTAGTTTAATGACTGCCTACTAGTACTGCCTTTTTTCCTTATGTTCTAGCTGGAAAGAGACATTTTCATTTCATATTTAATTTATAACTTATTTAATTTCACAAAGTCTGGGCCCATCCAGCACACTCAAGGTAAAAGGAAAGGAACATAAGCTTGCTGCTATTTTGTTACAGTCCTAGTCTATTTCGTTTAGGCAGGCTGGACATTATCACTGATTTCACTTTCGTCATGCTGCCCTTCAGCAAAGTCACATATCTTTTTACATGGTGAAGGAGGAGTGAAGTGCACAAACAGTACGGTGCACTTCAGAGTTACAGAGGCCAAGGCGTGTTAAAAACAATGGGGGAGAAGGGAAGGAGAGGGCAAACCCTGACCTAACGAAAACCCGCAGGAGTTTTGCCATTGATTTCAACTAAGCCAGGATTCCACCCATGGGATCGATTTAAACCAGGAATCAATAGAGATTTAAATTTCATTTGTCCGTATTGCTTGGAGATAAAAGAGTCAACAAAAATTTTCTATTGACTGGGGTCGAGAGAAGATTTCATTTTGGAATTTCTTGATTGCTAGCAAACTCTACGATGCTTTAACATGTCTCTCCATTTTTGGGTCTCTCTTCTTTCTGCCACCCTTTACCCTCCCACTGGATATTTTACTCTCAGTTCCACAATGACTGCAATAAAATTAAAAGATTTTTTTTAAATGTATACATTATTTTTCTGTCCATCACTTCAACAGCACTTATTTTTAACAACTGTTCTGTCCTACAGCCCCACTTCTTTTTTGCAGCTCTATAATGCCTGATTTTTCTTTTTTTAGGAGACAAAAGGGGCCTTAAGAGAGCCCAACCCCATAGCCCTAAAGGCCAAACATCACAGCAACCTCCAGGGGCAATCAACTCTCTTCAGAGCCCATTAATTAAGGTCTTTCAGTCATCCTAGAAGGGGTTGTTGAGCACGTTCTGTCCCTAGAGCATAAACGCCTTAAGCGAGTTTCTGAACTCTGCAGCGGTACAAGTAATACACAACAATATATCATCCGAGGGTATCCCTACACAGTGGGTTTAAGCCACCCTACAAAGACAGCTAAAAAGTTAAAACAAATATCAGCAATATTTCTATAACAACCCCAAAAGCTGGTGAATGGAGCAGAGCCAAAAGGAAAGAAAAAAAGTTGTACACTCTGAGAATGGATGCTGTAAATTCACTTTGTTATATGTAGCTAGAGAAGCCAATCCAGAATTACTGATCCTCAGTGGAAAACACTCTCTCCTCTTGTCCTTCTTACGATAAGTCAAGACAAGCAATTTCAGCCACACCTGTAAATTCCACCCACATAAGCCACACCTGGAAGCAAGAGCAATGGATCCTATAAATAGATCAATCAAGTATCATTTGAGAGTTTGTGTTTACTGTCTGAACCTGAAGCATGGGTTGGATAAAAGACAGCCAGTGAAGTTCACAGTATAGTATTTAGCCATTCTCATGAAGAACGTTTTGTCAGAAATAACTGCACACTTTACAGTCTGGTTTTCAACTGAGGCATCCTTATCCCCACAAAAGAATGATACAATCCACATCACACGAACAGCAACAAAGCCAGAGGTCCATTGTAACTTTGTGTCCTGCAATCTCCAATAAAGTGGCTGGCTTCCATTCCCTCTCAAAATAACAAGCTCACAAAAATTGGTGGTGCATTTGTAGAAGTTTACTGAAAATATAAAGCATCACATAAAAACAATTTGCCATGTCTGATCTACTTCACATTCCCTAAAACTGTCTGAAAGTCAATGGGAGGTAAGCATTTCACACTACTAGGTACCCTTGGGAAACACTAGGTCAAACCATGAGGACAACTAGCCTAAGATTAGTATAGCAAACTTAAGTTACCTTAAGTAATGAAACACTAGCTGCTAAAGATCTAGCTTACTTCTGA